ACATTTCCTCAGGAGCTGAATTCTGTTAGCCCTTCTTTCATTGGCCTGTTTAAAAGTTGGTGCCCGAGGCCTCTCCACCCTACTAAGGGAAGGCGGGGCGGGTCATCGCGCTCCTCGTCAACTTGCACAAGACGCCATCTAGTGGTGAAAAGAGAAAAATGGAGGTTTTTCTAGTAAAATGGGAAAGGCGAGCTTTTTTTTTTTTTTTCAAGTTTTTGTGTGACCTTCAGGGGCACGTTGCAGTGAAAAATGAGCACGTGATACCAAAACCTTTAACAGGTAAGGTAAGCTACAGCTGTGGTTCCGAGAGATGGCTCAGCAGTTCAGCATTCCGGCTGCTTGTTAGAGAGTCCGTTTAGCTCCCAGCACCCATGCCCCGTGCTTCACAACCGCCTGTAACTCCTGCTGTAGGGGATCTAACACCCACGACGGCGTCCAGGGATACCCACACACATTCACCCCTGCCCACACACAGACACATACATAAAAACAAAAGTAAGATGGAAGGGGAAGAAGATGCAGTTGGTTCTCTGTTTTCCCATTCCGGCGGGCCGGACCGAGGGGAATTATTTCTGCTGAGTACGCCAGATGGATGGTTTTGGCCTTGCAGGAGACTGGTGCTGTAATGGCCTTCGCCTTTCCCGTGCTGGCTTTAAGACACTGAGCTAATTCTAAAGACACTAACTAATTCTAAAAACTGGGTATAGCTAACAGATAGGATTAATCTTAGGGTCCATCTGCTTGCTGTTTCTAGTGCTAGCCCCGAAATGCTTCCATGTTTCACTCTTATGAAATACATTATTGTTCCTTAGTCAGGGAAGGCTTGTTATCTTCGTTAGATGAGAGCTTGGGTAATGATGGATATGCTCCTTTGAGAGGATTAGATGCCCAGGATGGGAAGGCAACACACAGTCCTGTTGACCCTTCAATCTTAGATGCGTATCAGACACACACCTTCGAACCCCAGGAATATTAATGAGAACAGTGAACTGAGCTCAGCCAGAGTGTTTGCCGATTGCTAATGTCCTGGTATCCTGGGCTTCAGACCTGCTTTCGATAAGCAGGTATCTTTGATCTTTAAACACCTTGCAAGATGACTTGTGAATTTTTTAAAAGAGCAGGCTTGCGCGGTGACCTGTTCACATGCCGTGCAATGTCTAATAGGCTGACTTCACTTAACACACTGAGAGTATCTATCGGCGGGGTTGCCTTTTACCTCCAGCTTCCACATGGAAAACAACAAGGCATAGAAGAGGAACTTGCTTGGATATATACAGTTAGTAAGTAACACATACAGAATGTTCACGGGTGTCTTGTTTCATTTTGAGACAGGGTCTCGAGATGGCTGTGGCTGGCCTGGAATGTGCCTGGAATGAGACCAGGCTCTCAAGCACACAGAGAACCCGCTGCCTCTGCCTCCCGAGCGCTGGGACTGAAGGTGTGCGCCACCATGCCCAGCAGAATGTTCGTTTTTGTTAGTTTCTCCTTTGGTGTCTTCAGCCTGAGAGCATAGGCTGGCAAGGTGGCTCTGTGCCTAAGGGCACCTGATGTGAAGACCAGGACCCTGAGTCTGATCCCTGCAACCCACGTGGGAGAAGAGAATCATTGCTCTCAGTTTGTCCCCCGATCTCCACATGTTCTCCATGGCACGACTGTGTCCACACATATATACACATGCACACAAAACGAAAAATAAAAGGTAGTAAAAATGTTCTAAGGAAAAGCAAGGGCTGGTGAAAGGGTGTAGCAGTGAAGAGTGCTTGGTCTTCTTCCAGGGACTCAAGTTTGGTTCCAAGTACCCATGTCAGGAGGCTCACGGATGCCTGGAACTCCAGTTCTGGAGGATCTGACGCCCACTTCAGACCTCCAAGGGTACCTGGCATATACACAGATAGACACACACACACACAAATGAAAATAAATCTTAAAATAAAAACTCAAAGTAGAAGCAAGAGTTGTGGGTTTGAATCCTTGAGTCGCAGACAACCCCTGGCTTTTGATGGACTCTGCAAATGTTTGCCTGACACCTGGGCATTCTTCCTCGGTCGGCCAGCCAGGCTCCTGGTCCTCACTCTGCTCTGGGTGACTAATAGTCTGAATAGCTGAGCTCGTGGAGAGAACAAATCAGGGAGGGAGTCGAGTCCCAGAGCCGGCGGAGGACACACAGCAGCGTGCCAGGGCCCTTGTGACTAGAGGTGACTCCTTAGAAAAGACGAGGCACGAGCATTTGGTTAGAGTCCGCAGTCACCCTCATGCAAGCTGGTGCTCCAGGGCTGAACCCTAATAACCAAACATTTAGGGGCCAGTGACATGCTCAGAGCATAAAGGCACTTGCAATCCAGACCTGGGGACCCGGGCTTGAGCTCCAGAGCCCCCAGAAAGCTGGAAGGATAACACTCCACAGAGTTGTTCTCTGGCCTTCACGTGCATTCTGTGGTGCATGTGCGAAAGACACATGCACACACACATACACATTCACACACACACACACACTATTTTTTTTAAACATTAAAACCTTTAGGATTAAATTTATATCAAATTGAATTATTTGCGTTTTTCACCCCTGACCCATTTTTATATGTTTCCAACTTTTAAAGCGATTTTTTTTAAAAGGTAGTTAATTTTTTTTTATTTTAATTTTAATTTTTAATTTTACGTGCGCACACGCACAAGCCATGCAGGTGCCTGGGGAGGCCAGAAGAGGCTGTCATATCCCATGGAGTCAGAGGGGTTTTTTTGTTTTGTTTTGTTTCGTTTTTCTTCATAGCCTTGGCTGCCCTGGAACTGGCTTTATAAACCAGGCCGGCCTCAAACTTAGAGACCCACCTTCCAGTGCCTCCTGAGTGCTGGGACTAAAGGCAGGTACTGCCGTGCCCTGCAGAGCTGGAGTTCTATGTGGTGCTTGTGAGCCTCCCGCCTTGGGAGATAAGAAAGCTTACACTTACCCTTCGTGGCTGCCTTCCTCACTGTTGTTTTCCCCCAAACCACATCGCCTAAGCTTGCCAAGTGTCATGAAACCAAGCAGTGTGTGTGCGCGTTGGGATTTAACCCCAGCAGGGCCGTGACAGCCTGAGCAGCCGCTTCCAAACCGAGTGCTGGTGTGGACCCCACTCTGGGGTTTAGGTGCTGGATGCTGGTGCTCCCCGCTCTCTGCTTTGCCGCCTGAGGCGGGGAGGGGGTCTGCAGAGCTTACCTTTAGGGCTTGAACTGCTTCGTGGGGTTCAGTCTCTGTGTTGTGCGTTTGCTTCAGTTTTGAATGTTAGTCCTCCATGTTTATTGATCTGTACCCTTCCTTCTGTTAATAACGATGGAGCATTATGTTTTCCTCATTGCCTGGGAACTCTCAGGGGTGTGTGTGTGTGTGTGTGTGTGTGTGTGTGTGTGTGTAAAACGGCTGGCCAGCAAGCCTCAGGCGTCCTGTGTTTGTCTTCCCAGTGCTGGGATTACAGGAATGTGCCATCAGGCTCAGTTGGTAAAGGGTTCAGTGTGTAAGCATGATGGCCTGGGTTGAAAGCCAGGAGCTAGCCAGTTCAGGTGGATGCCTGGAGCTCACTGGCCAGCCATCCTAGCTCAGTCTAGGTTCAGTGAGAGACCGGGCCTCAAAAAATAACACGGAGCAGGCCCCGAACTCTCAGAGATGTTTTGTTTGTTGAGGCAGTGTTTTCTGTCCTACTATATAGATCCAGGGATTAAAGTCAGGCAGTCAGGCTTGCCAGCAGGCACCTTTACCCACTGAGATAGGCTTTCTCTGTGTGGCCTTTGCTGTCCTAGACTCACTTTGTAGACCAGGCTGGCCTCTAACTCACAGAAATCTGCCTGCCTCTGCCTCCCCGACTGCTGGGATTCCAAGCATGTGCCGCTGTGCCGGCTGACATGTAAAATCTTAAGAATCACTTTGGAGAATTTCACATGTGTTTTATTTTTCAAGTTTTAAGTGCTTGAATTCACTCTGGAGTGATGTCTTAAGATTTATTTTTGTTACTTTAATATGTGTGTATGTGTGTGCCCTTAGGACAACTATGAATTCCTGAACTTTCTGCTGTAAATGAGAACGTGTTTCATTTACTTAAGGGGAAAAAATGACTTAAGCAAACAATCATGTACGTTGAAAAAATTGGATGGGATGGGTTTAATTTAACGACGCGATAGTTAGAAGACACCAGTAGAGGGCGCTCCAGCCCGTCTCTCTTGAATTATGCACGGTCTTGACCAGTAGAGGGCGCTCCAGCTCGCCACTCTTGAACCTGATAATGCGGGCTTGAAAATGAAGGTTTCCTGGAAAAAGACCCCACTTAGAAACACTCAGAGGTTCCATGAAGGGCGTTTGCGCCAGTTTCCAAGAACTCTGATGGAGGAAACGCTGCTCTCTAGGACAGTCACCTCATCAGTACCCATGATGGGACCCATCATGGAGGAGAAGCTGAGGGGGGACTGGGTAGACGGCCAAGCCGGGGTACAGAATGAATTCGCACACAGCCTGGGCAAGACCCTGCCTTCAAGAACATAAGTAAACGAGGCCGCTGAGATGGCCCGGCAGGTAAAGTCGCTGGCCAGCAAGCCTGACGAAACGCATTTCCAGAGCCCGCAGAGCGGTAAGAGAAAAACTGGCTCTCAGAGTTGCCCTCTCCCTTCACGTGTGTCTGGAGGCATGCCCGCATGCGGACAGGCGAGCATGCAGAATGAAGGAGTAGAATGTGATGTAAAACCTTTTAAGGGAAATAAAGATAAAACAAAATTAATTAAAAGATGGGTCATTCGAGGACCGATTTGTGGTAGTCTGAAATTGGGTTAATCGCGCCAACTTTAAGGATAATTAGCCCCAGTGGCAATGTCACAGCAGATAGTGAGCAGGGAGGGATCCGGATAAGTGGAAAGAAAGCCTCATTGTTCACAGAACTGTCGTGCCTTCCGAGTGCTCATGCCAAACCTGTCCTTCTGCCGGGCTTCTGCTCACAGCCACAGGGGCTGGTCCGAATGACTGCTGCTGGCTTCCTTTCCAGACCCCAGAAGGAAGTACCACGTGAGGCTGCTGGCTTACAACAACCTGGAAGATGGCTACCAGGCCGACCAGACCGTCAGCACTCCCGGATGCGTGTGTGAGTGACGGCCGCTCAGTAGTGCCCCCGAGGCACCGACCCCTCCCTTGAAATTCAGTTTTGCTACTGATCGGAAGACTGGGTTGGGGTGATTTTTCTGTATCCTCCAAGCTGCTGGGTACATCTTGAATAAGTGGGTGCTTGGCAAAAGTGGGCAGTTTAAATTCTAAGCATGCATTTTAATTTTGCAAGCAGAAGAAGGTGGAAATTAGCTGGGGGAAACACATCGGGTTTCCTGGACTGAATTTCCTTTTGTCTGCTTTGGCCGTGAAGCCAGTTTTTTTCCAATTGCTTCTATGTATTGCTCCTCTAACGCTGGCTTTCTCTGTTTTTGACTAGTTTTGTTTTTTCCCAGACAGGGTTTCCCGAGGAGGCAGGCTTGGTTGTTTTGTAGACCAGGCTGGCCTCCAACTCACAGAGATCCACCTGCCTCTGCCTCCCGAGTGCTGGGCTTAAAGGCCTGTGCCACGCTGAATGTTTACCGTTTTTCAGGCGGTGAAGCATTTGACTCCTTAGCTAACTCCCAGAAGGGTTAGAGTGAGTCAGGGGCAGACTACTGTGAGGCTCAGATCCGCCACCGTGGGGACCTCTCCCTTTCCGCTGCCCCGCTCTCTGCCCACAGCACCCACCCTCGCAGTGAATTCCCTTTGCCTGTCTCCCCAGCCGTCCGCGACCGCATGGTCCCCCCGCCGCCGCCTCCCCACCATCTCTACGCGAAGGCTAACACCTCCTCGGCCATCTTCCTGCACTGGAGGAGGCCGGCCTTCACCACCGCCCAAGCCATTAACTACACCATCCGCTGTAACCCCGTCGGCCTGCAGAACGCCTCTCTGGTGCTCTACCTGCAAACGTATGTGGCCTGTCCTCCCTCGCGGGTGCTTCCTTTGCGCTCCTGGCTGCTCTGACCGACTCGGAGAGAGTTCCTTTCAGAGCTGAACATCTCCCCGTCCTCTGCTATACTTCCTCGACATGAATTGACCCACCGACTGTTAGAAATACGTTGCTGGCACTAACGACCCGCTTACTCTGCTTCACAGATCGGAAACCCACATGTTGGTTCAAGGACTGGAACCCAACACCAAGTATGAGTTTGCCGTCCGCCTGCACGTGGACCAGCTCTCCAGTCCCTGGAGCCCCGTGGTCTACCACTCCACGCTTCCAGAAGGTAGAGACCGCAGCTTCCTGTGGAGCTCAGCCTTGACAGTTTAGCATCTAGTCAGTCGGTTAGGAGTGGGTGTGTTTTGGCTGCATGTTTGTCTGCAGTGCTTGAACACGGTGTCGGAAGAAGCCAGAAGAGGGCACCAGAGCCTCTGGGCTGTGAGCCACTGTGTGGGTCCTGGGGATCAAACTCTGGTCCTGGTGCTCTGAACCATCTAGTCCCACTGTGGGTTTTTAGTGTGTGTGTGTGTGTGTGTGTGTGTGTGTGTGTGTGTGTGTGTGTG